TGCTGAGACTGAAAATGCCTCACCTCCCAGTCACCCATAGCCGTGACTATTGAGCCCCAGGCACGACAAACCAAGCGTTGACGCGACTAATTGTTAAATATTTAGCCCTTCACACTCCTACTTTGAGAATGACTGTTAATTTTGAAGAGATGTCGTTCGACAAATGCACTTATTTATGCTTTGTGGAAAATTACACAAACTAATTACCTTAACGCACAACTACTACTAATCTAATCAATACGGTTGTCATCGACTTTCGGAAAGGGAATGAAGAAGTAAGGAAGGGAGCAGTGAAGGGGTACTGACTTGTAGCAGTAGTGGGATCCGCATATGAGGTCGACCATACAGAGGGTGGCGAAGAGCGCACTACCGTAAGCGTCGTGAGCGACGTTAGCGTGGTCCTGGAGGCTCGAGGCGGGATTTACCACATCACTACCCTTAATGCGTATTCACTGCAATGCACCTCCACCGCCGTCTCAGCCTCACTTCTCCGCTTTCGCTTCACCAACTGGACTTGCTAAGCTGCTAAAACGAAGTTAGATGATGAGTCTTACCGCCAGACCGAAAACCAAAGGGTATTAGATGAGGAGGAAAACCATGGAAAAACCCAGTTTAACCAAATGACTAATCCCATCCGTGTCTAAAACGCGACGAAAATGGAGAAAACCAAAATTTATCCTGACGACTAACCATCACTTCTGAAAGTTGCAAGTACAGCTGCATAGTGATGAGTAAATTGGCTAATAATGCCAGACAAAAACTGATCTGCCTCCCTCATTAATGCATTTGAGTTATATTGTACGCAAAATCCCCCGCGTTGTTATGCCAGACAAGGAGCAAACATGGGCCAGCCGCAGTAAACAGGCAGCGAAAAGGCAGAGTATACGGAAAAAAGAATGACAGTCGTGTATAGAGGCCTAAAAATAAAGCAATGGACAGTAGTAGAGTCATTTTGAAATCACTACAAACTGGATCAAATGTTTACAAATACCTTTCCACTAATAGATATGGAATACAGGCAATGCTAAGAGGGAAAGAAGATTCCTCACAGAAGTCGATGCTGACTCAGTCGGGTACTAAACAGTGACGAGGGCATCTAAGATGACCAACCGCTGAATGTCCCTGGTAGAGGAAGCTAACGCTGGAAACTTAATGAGGATTAGGTTGTAGATTATTGAACGCATTCCGCAGCTTCTAGCTCTCTCTGTCAATTAATTTTTCTTTTCTAAAAACGGCAAGTTTGTCTCCAAGGTGCCCAATGTGTGACCTGGGATAAAAAACGGATAAAGTGATGCCGTATCAAGCATTCGTATTTGAATGTCTATGTACTAACAAGGTCGATTACGCAGCCTTGGTCACCAAAAATCATATCTACCCATGATAATTGTTTGACACAACACAACAGCACTTACCCATTATAAGTGAACGTTCCAGATTCTCCTCTTTCCAAAGGTTCTTCAGAAGTCAAGTAATTCTCTTCTCCGGTAAGTCCAAGTAACGAAGACTGAAAGTAAGAACAGACCCCCTCGACACACTTAGTTGCCAATAAATTCGACTTTCGACACAAACCAGTCGGTTGCGAATATTGCAAAGGCAAGGCAATCGACCACATTCAGTTATTCCCGACGCCTAACAGAGACATATTCGTCAAGTGCAGAACACGAGTTTCAAATCTAGGAGGCACTACATCTCTTATGTGCAGACTCCTGAGGTGAGGTAGAAGTAGTGAATAACAAAATGGGCCTTTCTTGATCACTAGACACCAACACACAAAGAGTTTGATAAAAAGTCACTTTGCTACGCAGCACAAGATCAAAAACAACAATCAAGACAATTTCGTTTAGTGCGTCGTAGCAAAAAGATCTAACTCGACCGTGTAGATAAACACAACATTTAATATTTAACAAATTTGCCTTTCAGTTTTAAATAGTCTTAGCTGCAGAAATACACAAAAAACAACGATAATAATGCAGAATATCATAATGGAGTATAACACAATAATAATATGATAACAATATTGTGTTAGGACCAAATGCTTACGTATTCCCTGTTGATTGCAATTTTAAAAGAATATTCTTTTTTGCGTTTTTAGCTTTCTAAAATCAGAGTTAAAAAGCGGTGATAATTAGTCGCTGACAAATATCCACTTGTGATGGATTTAACGTGTTACCTATCTCTCCATCCCTCTTTTTATAGACGGTTTTCACTTTTATGTGTTTATCTACTCATTTTATCTCTTTTGGTGACAACGTGTTTTGTTGCCAAAGAAGCCCAATGACTTGATTCTCATATTCGTATCCCCTTACCTATAACTCATTTCCTCAACACAGGTCCAAATAACATCCGGTTGAATGTCCAAACCCAAATACTACAATTTTGGGATCAGAATAAGCATTTTGCTTCCGATTGTCAAAGAATTTCTGCGCAAATAGAATTCTCGTCTGATGTGTTTTTTGCTTAGTTTATCTGGAAATACTCTACCTTCCCTAACACTACGTGATGCATCTGTAAGGCTAGTCGTTACCCTCGCAACATCCTGTGATAATTTGCCCATGTACATTGCCACCCCCATGCATCAGCTACAAGTTGATGCATCCAGTCATTCTGCAAAAACCATAAAAAACCGTATAAAAATGAAATAAAACAGCATAAGGAGGAATAAATACGGCCTACTTT